TTCATATTCCCCTCAAGTTAACTTTCCATTTTCTTTTTTTTTTTTTTTTTTTTAGGAAATATTAATTTATATGTCCCCGCGTGAGTAATTTTTTAAAATCTTAAACTTTTTCTTCTCTAAATTATATACATATAAAAAAAAACAAATTCATATTCCACCTCAATGTAACTTTCCATTTTTTCTTTTTTTTTTTTTTATTTTTTTTCTTTCTAATTTCATTTTAAGGCCTACCCAGATGAGGGTTTACAACACTTTTTTTTTTTTTTTTTTTTTTTCTATTTTCATTTTAACCTCCCAAGAGGGTTACAAACTCATGCACCCCAAAGTCAATATATCATATTTAAACTTAGGCAATCAAATAAAAAACATAGCATGATTATAAATACTCACGCGAGAAATTTAATTATATATATTACATTCACCAACCAAGACCTTGGATTTATCAAAAACTCCAAGTTTAAATTATAAGATTCAAAACTAAAAATATATATAATTGAAAATTTCTAAGTGGGATTTTGACCATTGAATCCCAATTTTGAGGCTGCTTTCTCATCTCGAAAGTATTGTACACATTTACCTAATAATAAAATATTATAATAATGTAACTCAAAAACAAAAAATAAGAATAATCAATTTCGAACCACTAATTTTTATTTATAAAATTCTAAATTCCGGTCTCCTGACCAAAAAATTGGGACCAATCTAATGATTTAGAATAATCCTAATTTCAATATTTATTTTTTGTTTTGTTAGAATAGTCATATTTAATTGATTCTTATTTTATAAATAGGAATTAAGATCAAATAAATACATTTTATTTCTTAAAAATCTTCAAATAAATACATTTATTTTTCACTTTAAAAACTTCAAATAATAAAGAGCAAAGTAAAAATCATTTTAAAAATAATTTTTTATAAATTTAAAAATTAAAAATATTTTCAAAAGCTTTAAAAAGAAATTCTAACAGTCCAAGATTGCAACTTATGTGAAAAGAATACAGAATAGAAATGTCAACCCTGTTGACAAAAAACCAAAAACCACAAAACGACCAAGTGTAATGATGTGCACGTGTGGCATACTTATCATCTCATGTGAGAAAAATAAAAAAAATAAAATGATTAGAAAAATCCCACCATTTTGACTCATGCTCAACAATGATTCATCATAATGGCTTAGCCAATTCGGTCATAAATCTACTCATGAGATTAATTAATTTTTTAATGAAACAAAGATTATGGCTATAACCCACTACTCATTTTTCTTTTCTTTTATTTAATTTTTAAACCTTTTTCTATTCCTCAATTTGACAACTTGGCTTCAATACCATCTTACTATTTTTTTATTTTTTTCCAATTTGAAATTAATTAGGTAGGCTAAAACTTTTGAAGTCTCATGCTTTTAATTATTTTTGAACTTTTTTAATGGTTTCTTAATCAATTTTTTAAAAGATTTTCAAAATTTTCATCATCAAAAATTCCATTACATAAGTGATCTTAAAATCTCTAATTCTTCTATTATGTGCGATGCACGTTGACTTTGCTTTTCATGTACTCGTTCTTTATGTTTGTTTAATTTTGTTTTTTTATATAATATTAAAGTACAAGTTCTTATTTATATTAAAATAAATACAATTATTAATTTATATTGCACTTTATATATGCAATGAATTTTTTTAACATGTCATGTAGTGTAATATCTAATTGAAAAGAAAATGTTTTTACATCTCCCTTTAATAAAAAATATATTCTTTCCACTAATTAATTATATAAAATAACTAAAACTTGCATTTACCATACTACAAAATATTTTATAATTTGGCGATGCTATGACATAATCTAATAAATCAAGACTTACTATGCGTAACCACAGTATAAAATATAGTTTTAGTCTTCACATTAATTATTTTCATCGGATAAAGTTAAGTTGAAATTTTATTAATGGCATATAATTTTTTTGGACTCCATATCCTTACACATAATCTAAAAATAAATTGATTAAAGTTATAAGCTCTAAATGAGAATCAATGTATAAATAATAATATTGATAATGGAAGATCATTTCTCAAGTTTATAGAAGATAGATTAAATTCTAAAATTTCAAAGTCCTATATATTTATTTAAAAAATATTTTAAAAAGTTAAAATATCAAAATTATAGGTAAGTTTTTATTTATTTTAAAAATTATTTTAAAAAATACATCAAGTTAAATCATAGAAAAAAAAATAAATTTCCATAAATTTTAAAAATAAAAGAATTAAATGTTGAATAAGAAGAGAGCTTTTGAAAATTTTCTTTATTTCATATTTTATATAAAAAAGCTGAAAATAAAAATGATAGAAAATATGCCCAAATAGCTATTTTTCATTAATTCAAACTTTTATAGCCATTTTTTTTATTAGAGTAAAAAAAATCTATTATTTGATATTATCAAATATTATGATTCTATACTTTCATTACTTAATCCAAATAATTGTATACCATCCTCTCCAAAAAATTAAAGAGAAATAATATATTTAAAAAATTTTATTTTATTTTCATTACAATTAACTGATAGAGGTTAATAGTAAAGTATTTAACCATATTTTAAAAAATTCAAAACATAATAAATTAAAAGAATTAAAGTTTCATTTTCAATACTTGAATTAAGGTTGTCAATTTACCTCCTATATACGTGAGAACATATGATTAAGAACATCAAAATCTATTAAATATAAAAATCATTGAACATGAACGCTGCAAGATCAAATAGAAAATATATATATATACATATTTTCTCAAATTAAAATGCATAAAATATGTAACTAAAAGTATATTCAAAAGAATAAATGAAATCTATTTTCTCCAATTAAAAAGTATAAAAAAATACAAATAACAAGGATTTTCAAAAGGATAAATGGACTTATTTTCTAAAATTGTAATGCATAAATAATCTAAATAAAAGGATGTACTATGAATTTTCCTATTCTCACATTTATATATAGCATAGACTGTAGATTATAATTATTCATTTTGTCCCAAAATATAAGTCATTTTTGAGTGATTATTTTGTCTTAAAAATATAAATCGTTTTGAGTATTTTAAAAAGTAATAAATGATATTTTTTCAATGTTATCTTTATTTAAATTAGTTACAATAAATACTTTCACAAGTAATTATTGATTTTGAGATAAAGGATAATTTTATCGAATTACTCTTGAGTTTGTTATAATTTAGAAGAATTAGATATTTTTTTGTTTTTTTTATTAGTTACAGATAAGATACTTTCAGACAAGTAATTATTGATTTTGAAGATAAAGGATAATTTTATGGAAATTACGTCGTTGAAGTTTTTGTTATAGAAATTTAGAAAGAAATATTACTTATTATTAATCTTGTAATAAGAATAACATAATCTTAAACGACTTCATAGTTGTTGGAGACAGAGGGGAATAATAATTTTTATTAATGTGGGTGAAAAAAAAATTAAAAAGGTCTAAACTGTTTCTAATTATTAAAATAAATAAGTTTGTTGGAAACAATTCCACGCACGAATTCTCAAAATAGTAAAAGAAAAAGTTTTAAGTCAAACTACTAGATAGTTCGTTAATAATAATATAACCATTAAAATCCACAACGATATAAAATTAAAATTTTTTTATTAAAATTGTGATTGAAATTTAAAAAAGATAAAACTTAAAAATTTAAAATGTTTATTATTTATATGTATTGTATTTAAAAAAATAATTTTATAAGAATTATATTCATCAACTAATAAAATATAATTTTTAATTAAATTATGATAAAGTTTATTCTTAGGATATCTAAATTTTATTTAAGATGCTACTGAAAGATCCGCATTATTTCGCCTCTTTCTCACATTTGATATATAGTAGTAGGAGATTTAGCAAAGACATCCTAATCTTATAATAAATATATTGTAAATTACCTGTTGTTTAATTTTGTTATTAATAAAGAGTTTTAGCTTTAAATATAAATTAGAATAAATTAAAAAGAAAAAAATTAGAAAATTAATTTTTATTTTTTTTAATTATTAAGGACACTTAGAATATTTGAGTCATTACTATTAGTTTAATTTACTAAAAAAAGAAACTTTGATTTTCTATTAAATTAAAGGAATTCTAATAAAATATAATTTTTTAATTAATTATGATTAAAGTTATTTTAGGATATCTAAATTTTATTAAGGATGCTACTGAAAATCCCATTATTTCCCTCTTTCTCACATTTATATATAGTATATAGATTTAGAAAGACTCTTAATCTTATAATAATATATTTAAATTACTTTGTTATTTTTATATTAAAGAGTTTAGCTTTAATATAATTAAATAAATTAAAGAAAAATTAGAAATTAATTTTATTTTTTATTATTAAGGACATTTGATATTTTGGTCATTACTATTTTTAATTACTAAAAAGAACTTTGATTTCTTATTAAGGAATTATGACAATCTCTAATAGGAGGACTATTTTGTTAAAAGAGACAAAAAAATGCAACACTATATAATTATGCTGAATATCAGTGATCAAATTGTGAGTTTACCATTTTTGTTACACCAAATGCAAAGATAGAATGGTAATTTTGAAATAGAAAGGGTAGGTGTATAATTATTAATTATTAAAGCAAAACAACAAAAATGTTCTTATATTTTAGAAAGAATCAGAAATTTATCCCTAAAATTTAATTTAAATTATTAAATCGTCCATATTTTTTGATAAAATTATTGATTCGTATATGAAATTTAGTTTTATTGAAAAGATAAAAGTAATAAACGTGAAAAGTGAAATAATAATATTATGTTAAATGATAATATAATCAAATACTACAAAGTATTTAATTGTAAAAATGACATTTTTTAAACAAAAAAAAGGTTTAACTACTATTTATCATTTAGCAAATTGTATTGGATGAATTAATAATTTCGTTAAAATGTTAGGGACTAAATAATATATTTTCCTTCATTTTATAAACCTTTCTGCTTTTACTTCTCCAAAGTCCGATTAAAAACCAAAAGACACCGAGGTCAAAATACTCTCTTTCTTTCTCTAATGGCGGCCAAGAAGAGCACCACCTTCAAGACTACTTCTGCTCTAATGTCTCAAGCTGCCCATTATCCTCTACTTAGTCCTTTCCTTTGACATTCTTTTTATCAAAACCTACATTTTATGCTCTGCAGTATAGCCAAACAACCCACTCCATAAAAAGAGAAGAAACTAAGACCTCCCTCTCGGTTTTCGTGTTCCACTTAAACTTTTGTCAAAAACCCATTATCTCTCTCATTCCAAGAAAGAAAAAAACAGAAAACAAGAAAACAAAAGGAGACAACTTGGCTTGAACCAAAGCAATTTCTTTGAGATCTGTTTTTGTTGTTCTTGCCTTTGGTTTTTTTGTTTTATACTTATTGACTTGTTAATTTCTTCTTCTTGGATTCTTGAAAAGATTTTGAAGTTGGAAGTAAAATGGGAAGTAAATGGAGAAAAGCAAAGTTAGCTTTGGGTCTAAATCTTTGTGTTTATGTACCAAGAACTCTAGAAGATTCACCACCGCCAGCAAGTGAGAGATTATCTGATGCTGCTTTGCTTTCACCTACAACTTGGGATTCAAGGCCAATGACACCTACACCTTCTTCACATGGTCTAAAGTGGTCCAAGAGTGGAAGCAAATCATCAAAGGTTTGTTTATATTTTTTTTTCTTCTAAATGTATAATTTTTTTTTTTGGTTGCAAAAAAACTGTTGTTTAAATATTTTGTTTCTGCTTCTCATGGGTTTTATTAGTGGTCTGTGGTGTGTTATTGTTGGATTTTTCTAGTTGAGGCTGTTGATGGGTTTTGGTAGTTTTGATATTGGGAATTGTGTGTTACTGTTGGATGAATTTGTTGGTATTGAGACCGATTCTTGTTGTGTTTGGGTGCTGGATTTTATTTCTTTTTCTTAATTTTTTTAGAATTTTTTTATGGGAGGTAGTTCTGGGATTTTAAAGAATTTTTTATTTGGATAAAACCAAATATAAGTGGACTCAGCTGGATTAAGTTAAATGATTTATGTTATCGATGATATGCCTTCTAATTTCCTGTTGGGTATTTGATTGCTACGAAAGGCAGTAAAATTATAAAAAAAGAGTTTAAATTAAAAAGTTGGTATCATTTAAGTTTTCTATTTTTGGTTTCTAATTTTCTATAGAAACATTTTTTACATGTGAAAAAAACGGGTTGAGAAAATAGCCAAATATTACTTTCTATTGTATAGTTTTCACTTGTGGCAAGTCGTTTTTCTGGTGTAAGCTATAAGTAACAGAGAGAATATATTTTGAGGGTAGATTCTTCTTTGGCAATTGGAAAACAAATCAAAATCAAGAGACAACAACAATGCCAAACAGCCCCTAGCATTTTGTTGTTGTTTTGGTGATATGCTCGTCTCAACTTGGCTAAGTAAGCCAAGTAGGTGTACTTCTATTAATTGAAAGGAGACTTTCCTTTTCTGGCTTGTTGTATCATGAAGAATTCTCCATTTCTAGATTTTAATTTATTTTTCCTACCTCACTTTCAGCAACTACTTCGGGGATTAGGATTTTATAAGTATATATCTTCTTTGTATTTTTCTTAGATAGAGTTGAAAGAGATTGAAAATTTCTCAATCTTTTCCCAGTTGCTTTGTTCATCCTTATCCAGAGCTAGGATATGAAGTCACACTATCTTGTATCAACTTATTTGCTTCTTGTTGATGAAAATGATTATATATATAAAGCTTAATCTTTTTGGCCTGAATCTTATCTTTAGATAGTGTTAAATAAGAAACACATTAGGAACTGTTAAAAACAAAATGAATGGTAAAGATACGTTCTTTAGTTGAATAATATATTATCAGTTTTGGCAGTGTCTGAGGAGCCGTACTTGAATTATTGGGCTGCTTTGCTGATGTCATGTTGCTTCCCATTCTTTGAGCCTGTGGGGTTAATTGTTATGTCCCTTTCTGAAGCATTTTCAATTGGCTTAACAGTAAAAGAAAACTATAGGTTTCCATATTTGCTTTCCCCTTTCTCTTGAAGGGGGAAAAGAAAAAAAAAAGCAGCTTCTGTGGTAGCTTAACTGTTTCAGTGTTATTGCAAGCTTTCTAGGTGTGAAACTTCATTAAAGAAGTAAAAGTAAAGAAACATCATAAAGCAACATGTTATTTTCCCCTTCCTTTTGATAGATATGTTTTATATTTTTTCCCTGTTTGCATTCAGAGAGTTGATTCATCTGTATCATAAAATAGTTGTTTGATAACACTTCAAAAGTCACTCTCTCATTTTTTAACTCTGCATTATCTTGTGTGCCCCATATGTTGTATACCTAACTTTGACTTCTTTAAACCTTAATTTTTTTTTTGACATTTAATATACTTCTTTAAACCTTAATATTGGTCTTCTTTCCTTTTCCAATATTTCTTTTCTGGTCATGCGGTCTGGCCCCAGAGTCTCAAAGTTATTCATGTATGCAACTTACCTGTTGTGATTATTGCTGCCTGACAAAGGTGAAATATACATGAACACATGCTAGGATTAGAAACATTGAAAACTGCATACAACTTTTCTTCCATACTGCCTTGGCTGGTGCAGGACTTGTACCAGTGAGCTGCTTGTGAATTTTGACGCTCTTAAAATTATACGGACATTGTAGAAATATAATAATAATCTGAATAAAGACTGGGGTTTGGTGGAGAAGATAAACCCATGCTTTTACCTCTTTCTTTTTCTAGATTACCATATGAGTTATTATTATTATTATTATTATTTTTTCAAATGAATTAGGATCACATGCAGCTTCTCACCAATGTATAAAAAATTCTGGGAGATTCATTTAGGACTAATTACCTGATCATGAAATCTATGAGTTAATCTATCATTTTACACATCAGTGTGACATGTTAATTGTTTGTTTGGATAAATTTACTTTGCATGTCTCTTTTGAGATACGGTAATTTCATGCTAGCTTAAAATTGTTATCGGCTTTCTAAGCTATGCAACAGTATTTTAAGGTTTGTCAGTTGTAAAATACTGAATTTGATACATGGGTAGTAAGTGTGTGTATATTCTGATTTCTGAAGATTTATTACACGTCAACTTCCTTTGCAAGATAAAATTTTCTGAGAGTTTTCGTACCATAAATTGGATCTGCATGCTGATACAAAGATATGTTCGAATATTCTTACCCATACTAATATTGATCTCGAGTATATTATGTAATTATGTTCCTTCTTTCAGATTTTATCCCATGTTCATGCAATTTTCTGCTTGTCTTTTCTTTTGTGATTTCAGCAAACCTGCTCAATATGCCTGACCAAGATGAAACATGGAGATGGCCATGCTATTTTTACTGCTGAATGCTCACATTCCTTCCATTTCCACTGCATCGCGTCAAATGTGAAACATGGCAACCAAATTTGTCCAGTTTGTCGAGCAAAATGGAAAGAAATCCCCCTGCAGGCTCCCAGTTTGGATCCTCTGCCTGGCAGAGGATCTATCAATGCAGTAGGGTGGCCTCACAATGATGCTTTGATGACTGTGGTTCGCAGGTTACACCCTCCGCCTCGTCGAGATCTGAATCGGCGACACATAGTTCCATTACTCCAAGCTCCCGAGCCTACTGTATTTAACGATGATGAATCCTTAGATCTCCAACCCACATTTGCTGACAGAAGTTCTGACAATGAAGATGCTGCTCCTCAGAATTCTGCTAGCACAATAGAGATCAAAGCATACCCAGAAGTTTCAGCTGCATCACGATCCAAATCATACGATAACTTCATTGTGTTGGTCCATCTCAAAGCTGCTGCTACTATTACAAGACAAAATCCAAGAAGAAACCAGGCTAGCTTGCCTCAACTGTCTCAAACTCCTCGAGCTCCAGTTGACCTAGTCACAGTTCTTGACATCAGTGGTAGCATGGCAGGTACAAAGCTAGCATTGCTTAAACGAGCTATGGGATTTGTAATACAGAACCTTGGCTCCAATGACAGGCTCTCAGTTATTGCCTTCTCTTCCACTGCCCGCCGTCTCTTTCCCCTCCGTCGAATGTCTGATACAGGCCGGCAGCAGGCACTTCAAGCTGTCAATTCTCTGGTTGCAAATGGTGGCACTAACATTGCTGAAGGCCTGAGAAAGGGTGCAAAAGTAATGGAAGACCGAAGGGAAAAGAATCCTGTGGGAAGTATAATACTGCTATCAGATGGGCAAGATACATACACTGTGAGCAGCTCTGGGAATAACCAACCTCAGCCAAATTACCGGTTACTTCTGCCTTTATCTATTCATGGTGGTGACACTGGAGGGTTTCAGATTCCAGTGCATGCTTTTGGTTTTGGTGCAGATCATGATGCTTCATCAATGCATTCTATCTCAGAAATATCTGGAGGCACTTTCTCTTTCATTGAAACTGAATCTGTAATCCAGGATGCATTTGCACAATGCATTGGCGGACTTTTAAGTGTTGTGGTGCAAGAGTTGCAGGTTAGAGTGGAGTGTGTGCACCCCGATATCCGCCTTAGCTCTCTTAAAGCAGGAAGTTACCCAAGTCGTTTGATGACTGACGCGAGCTTGGGCTTTATCGATTTTGGAGATTTGTATGCTGATGAAGAGAGGGATTTTCTGGTTTCAATAAATGTTCCAGCAGAGCCTTCGGGAAATCAAACATCACTTCTAAAGGTGAGATGTGTTTACAAGGATCCTTTATCTAAAGAAATGTCAACCTTAGAAAGTGAAGAAGTTAGGCTTAACAGACCTGAAATATCTGGAGAAGCAGCAGTGTCTATTGAAGTGGACAGGCAACGCAACAGGCTTCAAGCAGCTGAGGTAATGTCACAAGCAAGAACTGCAGCAGAGCAAGGAGATCTGGCTGGTGCAGTTTCTATACTTGAAACTTGCCGAAGGATATTGTCAGAAACCATTTCAGCTAAATCCCATGACCGATTATGCATTGCATTAGATGCAGAGCTAAAAGAGATGCAAGAGAGGATGGCAAGCAGGCATGTGTATGAAGCATCTGGCAGAGCTTATATTCTGTCCGGTCTAAGCTCACACTCATGGCAAAGAGCAACAGCAAGAGGAGATTCAACTGATGGTTCGAGTCTTGTTCAATCGTATCAAACCCCATCAATGACTGAGATGCTTACTCGATCTCAGGCTATGTTACTCGGTAGTCCATCAGCTCAGAGGCTTGTTCAGCCATTGTGGTCTTTTGGCTCACAACCAAATCCAAGGTGACATTTTACCATGCGGCTACAAGTGCCTTTTTCCCTTTTTTTTTTTTGTTTTTCTATTTGGGCTAGAAGGGACAAATTAGAAAGATAAGGAGAGGGTTCTTTTGACTGTGATTTCGCTTGTATCACATGTAAATGAATAAAAACAAGGGTAAAATGTGAAGGGATATATTTGGAGGTAAAAGAAAGGTACACCTAGGTAGGGTTTAAGTCTTTTGGTGCATTTGATTGTGTTTTTGAAGGGTTGATGTACATAAGGAGAGACGGTATTTTTATCTGGGAGAAAAAATGGGTATAAGTTTGTAATTGTGGAGATGAATGGGGTGAAGTTTTTGCCTAATATAGTTTTACCTGCTCTCAATTCTTTTCAGAGTTCATTCTATTTTTTGTCAAATTGTGTCAAGAACTGCTTCTCCCTCTCTCTTGGGTCTCCATTTGATTAAGAATAGGAATGGATGAATCTGCATGAAATTTTTGACATATAATGATTTTATTTGGTCAAGCATTTGGATTTTGAAGGTTGGAACTTTTTAGAGCACTGAGTGCACTCAAATATAGTGTAATCTTGACAAAAATATAGTCTGCTCGAATTTTAATTTGTGAGAATTTTGAATTCATTGATATGAATGAGGTCCATTATACCAGTAGATTAAAGGTCTCAAAAAGAATTTTCAATCTCTACCAAGTGAATTGCTTTTCCAGGCTTCTCAACTGGCATTAGATCAAGATGATATTTCATATACACATAATTATATGGTTTTCAGTAGGTATTATAAATCCACACTCCAGCAAATTTTACTGTGAATTAGCAGTAAAGTGTCCGATAATCTAATTTTACAAATTAATTATAAACTCTATCTTTTAAATGTAAAGCCTAATGCCCTGTTGATGAAATTTACAAGTTTTGAATGGTAGATGGGAATGTATCAAGAAAGGAAGTTGCAATAAATATACCAACTCATCTAACTTCAGATAATATTCTTTCACTATTAAAAGCTTGAACCTCACTCCAATAAGTCTCACCACCGTTTCTATTTTGCCATCCCCTGCTTCTGAGAGAGATGGTTAAACCACCATCACCACCACCAGCTGTGCCACCACCTCCACCGGCAGATGCACCAGCGGGCAGACCTAATGGGTGCCTAATGCCATGGTAATATATATTTCGTTCCACATAGTTTTAATAATAATAATAATCTTCTACCTTAGTCTTTTTCTAATAAAAAAAAAAAAACTCTTATCATGGATTTTCAATTTTGAAAAATAAAATCATACAGCAACTTTTTGATGGTTACAATTCAATTTTATTATCGGTTAAATTTCATATTATTTCATATCAAGACTGATTTGATTACCACTGAAGGTGTCCTCCCAAAAAAAAAAAAGGTGCTTTTGAATTTATTATATATATCTAGAAAATAATTTAATAAGGTATATTTAGCATATTTATAAAACACAATTTTATTTTTAACAACATAAATTAAGAAAAATAAATTCAAGTCTATCAGATTAGCAAATTCAACTTAATTTTGTCTAAACTTGAATTGATAATAGAATTATAAAAATTAATCAAATGTTGCATCAAAATGTTAAAATTAAAAGTTAATAATAATAATAATAATAATAAAGCTTGAATTCGAACTTCGAATTTCCTAATTGGATCGAGCTATTTAGTCAAGCTCAAAAATGTATCGACCCGACTCGATACCTAGCTGTTGTGTTATTTTATTTGTGGTTCTAACACGTTTTTCCTTATTTTGATAACGTCCAAGGTTGTGGTTTCTCTGTTGCTGCGGTCTCCTTACAAGCTGCTGTCCAGAAACTTTGCCACGAGGACCCCCACCTGCTCTTTGACAACTTAATTTTAATTCTTGTAGAGATTAAAGAAAATTTTCCCTTTTTGTTACAATATTTCAAGTGAAAACAACAGAATGATCCATCAAATGCTACTTTTGTTCCTTCAAAGCTAAATTTTAATGTTAAAAGTGTTCTCTCACCATCACTCTGTGCGGACTCCAAAGACTAACAACATAACAGAATTACGAGTCAACATTCTTCATTATTACAGCCATTACTATCCATATCAAGTTACTCGGCCCAAAAATGAACGCTCGTTCGTGAAACCAGGAAAAATAGCACCGGCAATCTTATAAAAAGGGAAAAAAGTGATCTTCTGCCTAATGTATGATATAACGACCGTAGAAACAAGCCTATAACTAGTTTGATTTGCCTTCGTTCGGCTTAGGAATTCTTTTGTACTCGTAATTGTTTATGTCCACTTTCTGCTGCAAAGCCTGTATACCACAGAAAAGCAAGTTTGTTGCAAAACCCCATTTAGTAAGCCTTAATGAGATATAATATGATATAATCAAATGCATTTCTACACACTAGAAAAGAAAATGCGTTTAGTTTCATTACGGTTTATCAAACATAACCTTAATTTGTTTAGTTTGGAGGTGTGCTAACCAAACATCAAGTAACCATACCTTTAACTCCTCTTCAAGTGAAATCCTTTTGGGTTGATATGCGTCTATAGGCCCTGTTCTAGACAGTGCTTTTCTAGTCTCAATAATTTCCCATTCTTGATCGTCTTTCACCTTTGCGATATCCTTGCTGAACTACAAAAAATTTCAGATGCGGAGTAGAATGAGAACATGACAATGATCCATTTGCATTCTGCCATAGAACTTAAAACAGATAGTATCATACAAATGGTAAGGAAATCCAAAAGTATACTGCATATTTATGCATGTTAAAAACAAAGTCATGGCAACGAAAGCAACGGTTCATTATCATTTAGATTATGTACCTACATCAGTAATTGTACTAAGGCCCCCATTTGGTATAAAATGAATCCCAAAAAAATTTGTGAAATTCAATTGAATCTTTGTGTTTTCATGTTTGGTATAAATGAAAATATCCATTTAACTACCATAAATTCAACTGCATCGAATTCAACTCAATTAGTTATAAATGAATTCCATATTTCAAATTCATTTATTACTGAACAATGGATAAGGGAATGAAAATTCAATTGCTCTGAAGTTGTCCTGAGTCTCAAATAGCAAGTTCAGTGCTGCTAAAGGATCTCAATCCATATTTCAACCACATGCTCTTGTACTTTGGGAATTTTCCTTTGTCCAGGCCACAACTAAAGCTAAATGACAGCATCATTTAGATGGCTTTATATGTTGTTTCCTCACTAGTTTAGACCTGCCGATTTGAACCAGAAACCGAGGATGACATTCTAATCACTATTTCATAAGCATAGCAGAATTTTTTATATTTACTCCAAGAGTGCATAACTATTAATGCAAAACACCAATTGTTAGAGCATTCAGAAATTCTAGTCCCCAAGCCCCCATATTCTCTTGCAAAAAAAAAAGTCTTCTAAAATCCATGGAATTAATTAAAAACCTGTGTATTTAATTCCATGAATTTGGACAATCTCTCTGGTCTGATAGACAACCCAACTCCTGGAACAAAAGGTATTTTTGGAATAAACAAAAAGTTTGAAAACTCCTTCTGGCCTCGTCTACTCGAAATGAGAGATTTCATAAGATCACGCCTACAACTACAAGCTGTGGATTTGAAATACCTCAATTTCAGGGATTTTAGAAAATTAAGAATTTGTTAAAATCCATGGATCCACACTACCCATTTTTGGCATCCAAACAATGAACTTTCTCAAATCTATGAATTCTTTCAATTTTCTCATCCAAAATCCATCATAGCAAACAACCTTTTTGAATAAATTGATGATAACTGAGTTTCAGGCCATTCAAGCAGCAATAACAATAACTGAGAAGGCCATTTTCCAATCAACCTCGACAATACACAAGTAACATTAGAATACAAGTTCATCATCTAGCAAGCCATGACCCTTTTATTGCCCCATGACACAATTCATGACTAAAGGGAACACAAACTCGAATTACAATATAATATAGGCTGATTGTATACAAGACAACATAATTACATTTTTCAAGTAAGCATTGAACTTCACTCAATTGCCAAATGAAACAATTATCGACATAATAGTCTCATTTGGAAATTCGACTTAGAAAGAGAAAGATCAGGGAGAAAAAAAGGGAAAAAGAGAGGGGGGGGGGGGGGGGGGGAGACCACAACTCGAATTACCAAATAATAATATAGGCCTGATTGTATACAAGACAACATAATTACATATTTTCAAGTAAGCGCATTGAACTTGCACTCAATTGGCCAAATGAAAACCAATTATCGACATAATAGTCTCATTTTGGAAATATCGACTGTAGAAAGAGAAAGATCAGGAGAAAAAAAAAGGGGGAAAAAAGAGAGGGGGGGCGGTGGGGCGGGGCGGTGGTCCGTGGTCGTTATGTCAATCATGCACAAGACAACCCAGGGCGGGCGGTGGTCCGTGGTCGTTATGTCAATCATGCACAAGACAACCCAATCTCCGAAATTAGCAATACATTTAACTCAAAGATGCAACACAGTCCCATTTGAGAATTCAAGTGAAAAGAGGAAAGATTTTATGAAGGGAGGGGACTTGATCTAATTGGCTGTCAATAGAAAATTCATGTTGTTCTTATATATGATATAAAAAAACAAAAAAAAAAAAAATGCAATTTTTAAAATAAAAATAGCACTAACCTGCCCTGCAAAAGATGACCAAGACCTAATGCCCCAAAAACAGTGAGTGAAATCATAGGAAGCCCATATCTAACAAATGGATGCTTCCTTCCCCATCTTTTGAATGATGAAGTTGAACTCTGAATCTTAGCAGTAGCAGCGGCAGCAACACTAATTTTTTGAGGCTGACCCATTTGAGTCTCAAGAGTTGTCATCTTACTGAACCATAGGAAACCCAAAAATACAGTGTTATAACTCAATATACGAAGAAAAAACTCGAAATCAAATGGTTCAAAATAACATGAAAAGCCCCATTAGTCCCAAAATTTTTAGGGTTCTAAAACTAATATGGAACCATCAATAATTTCCATATTTTCCCCAGGTAAATTGACTCCGATTATAATCCAATCTAATGCTTCACTTTTCTTAATGTATTGAAACTATTCAGGAATTATATAATACCTTTACATCATATCATATTCAGTTAAAAGAGGATAAACAGAAATTAAATGAACAAAGGCAATACCTTTTTAATATCTTTTTTGAGATAAAATTGAATTGGCTCTTGAACCTTTGATATCCGCTTCCAATTGGCAATTATTGAGCAAATACAATACAAATAAACGGGCTGGGCAAGCCTGAAATGAAAGAGCAAAGCTGATCAGCTAAATTTCAGGCTCAGTTTCGTCGACTGGGAAGAGGAATAGCGTTAGAGAGGATCCTTTTACAATTACTTTACAAATGGCTTGTTTTTGCGGATGCATCTTTTGGGCGTTTGGCTTCTTTTTTATTCTATAAATAATTGTGTTTAACTAATTTATAAACAAATATACTTCATCCGTCCCGTTATATTTAGTTATATTTTGTTTTATATTTCAAAATATTTACAAAATTTTTAAATTTAGATATATAAATAATTATTTTTCTCCTAATAATATTTATAATTATTTATTAAATGAAGGATTTTTAGTATGTTAATAAATTATTAAGAATAAAAAAGTGTAAAATAAATTTTATTAACTAAATTCTTAATATATGTGTTTTATCAAACCATGCAAACAAAATGAAACGGAGGAGTATAAATTACAGCAATATTCTTAACTTTTAACTTTTTTTTTCTTTTTTTGAGTATCAAGGGAAGAGGATTTAAACTTTAATTTATTGCCAAATCGTGTATACATTTATCATATGCTTTAATATGCTACGTTTTTTTTTTTTATATTCTAAATTTTATCATATAAATATAAGCTATAAATATAATAACATTTTCACTAATATAAAATAACATGAAATACAAATATAATTTAAAAATTAATTAATAAGTATAACACAATAATAGTAATAGTAATTACTCCCTCCGTTCCATTTTGTTTGTATTGTTTGACAAAGCACGCATAATAAAATTTTAGCCAATAAAAATTATTTTGTCAATTCTTCCCTTAACCCAATAAGACATTAATAAAAGTATTTCATTTAATGATAATAATAAAGGTTATTAAGAGAAAAATAATTGTTTATATATACAAATTTAAAAATTTTGTAAATATTTTGGGACATAAAAAAAAAAATAACAAACAAACAAAATATGATTATAAAAAATGAAAGTTAAAAAAATTGATTAAAATTAATCAATGAAACAATTTTATAATTAAGAATATAATGTTTTTAACTTTTCAATTATTTGAAAATAAAATTTTTCCACATCTTTACATCATTAAAGGAGAGAAAGTATTATTCGATATATATGACAGAAAAAAAAATGTTATATCAACGAATAGAAATTTAACTTCGGAAAGAAGGTAACATTCATATATTAACAGATGAAAGTGAAACGGGTAAACTCAGACTTATTTATTATGAACATATATAGATAGTTATAAATTATTATATAAAAAGAAAATTAAAACAACATAAATATCCTTAATGTAATATATATGTATGTGTTAATTTCTGCACAGTGTTCTAAATATGTACCAAAATATTTCAAATTAGTCAATTAAACATATTAAAATTATGACTAATGTTTCTAATCTTTAGCAATAGAATATAGTCTTAGGCAATAGAGACTAGAAACTTAATTGATTTATAAAGCAAGTAAATTATGTTTTTTTAATAAGCTTATCTATATATTAATTAATTATAAAATATTTTAAAATTTTAATTATATTTAAAATACAAATTGAATAACTCCTACCAAATTTAAATGAATTACATATCAATTTTAATGAACAAACCTAATTAATTAAATTATATAATTATAGAATGTTTTCTTAGACTTGCTTACACTGGGTAACGTAAAATACATACATGTTTTCAAGTAATCGGTATTGGGAATTTCAAGTAAAAAAAAAAAATTGATACCAATCGGTGGTCTTTAGTCTTACTCTTTGAAATTTTGGTATGCTTGTTCGTATAAGTCATGGAGAATCCATCCTCATGGATAGAATAAATATATATTAAAAGAGCGTTTTAGCGTTTAATGAACCAATTAAATGCGAGAAGAATTTAGTTTAATGGACTAAGGATACAATGTCTGGTTAATAAGGAAAAGTATGCTCTCATACTCTCTTATTAAGTAAAGTATCTATTTCAATTTTTCTGCTGAAGAATTCCAATTAAACAAGCTAGCATAATTCAAACACCAAGTGGCCAACGAGTAAGAGAAAGACCTTGTTAAGGGAAAGAAAGATTTAATATAATAAAAAAAAAATGTGAATGTCTTAAAATCTAATGATAAATATAATTACAAAATTGGCTTAACCAACCACGAACAAGTAACAACTAGTTAGCTTTCATAAGTTAGAAGTGAAATAAAGAAACGAAAAGATTTTCTTTTTGTATTTTTTTATGCTTCTGAGAGTGTGATGTTCAGTCTGCTAATTTACCACTGTGATTTTCTTTTCCATTCAGGAGTGGTGTAGAGGATTTTGGTGATTCTTTAGAGTCAGTGGGTTTGGATGCACTAGATTTTGGCTTTGATCTACTAAAGCCAAATCTTTTGAACAAAATATTCCAACTTCCTTTTGTCTTCACTATCTTATCAATCTCCTCTTTCATGTTCAAGCACTCTTTCTCAAGTTCAGAAACTCTCTCCTTCATTTCATCAACTGCGATAATGCGGTCTTGTGTGCTTCCAGCTTGAGTATGCATATCATTTCTAGTCAGAGCAAGATTGGCAAGATTGCCACTTGGATTTTGTGAACTGTCAAGATTATCAGAAACAAAGAACCAACCAGCAATAGAGGTTCTGAGTCGCAGTTGTTCGAAGAATAAAACTTGGACGATCACTCGAAGTGGTAGCCTCTCATTTTGAGCAGCATGCGTGCTAGCTTCCAATGATAGCTTCTGGCAGTTCATGAGTCTGCATAGTTGTTCTCTTTCTGAATCTGTTAGCCATGGATGAGCCTGAAGCAAAAGGAGCATATTAGTAACAAAGAAATCATTGAAGCATAAATAGAATAAAAGCAAGAATAAATAGGTTTGAAGAAAAAGAAATTCCATTTTCTACTAGAACTTAAATGGATGATTTAAGATCTGTTTGGCATTGAAATTGAATGAAACCTCTGAAAAAAGGAATTAAGGAAGCATTCTCCAAACTGCATCATTAAAGCAATGGCAATTTGTCAAGAAGTACTATCAACAAAAAAACATTTGCAGAATTTTTAGATTTTACCTTGAGGTATATATCAATTGCACGGTATATTCCATCATCTAATGGCCTTGCATAGTCAGGGATAACAGCAGCAAGAGACTGAAATTTTGCCAACTTCAGATTAACATCAGGTGCAACCTCTGCCAAATAATTATCAATCAAATTTGCCACCATTGTAATTGGAGTTAGTGGATGGGAACCTCCCATTACTTGCCCCTCGTCGACCATAAAATTAGATGTAGGATCATCATGATCCACCAGCAAGAAATGATCAAGAATCCGCTGAACACAGTCAATGTCATATAGAGTTTCAACTGAGTATCCCATATTTGGTATCATAATATCTTCAAGAGCTGCTTGATCCAACTGCACTCCAATCCTTTTCTCCAAGTTTTCTCGACATGATGGACTAGCATGCAATATCATTGATGTTCGTAGAAGCCTAAGCAGGAACTTACTAGGTGTAACACCCTTTTGATCAGGTAATAATTCCACTAATTCTTCAAGGAGATTCCTTTGAGTAGCATCAACTACTGTAGAAATAGTTGATCCAGGTGCAGCATCATTACCATTCTCCACTCCTGATTGCCTGCCCGACAAAGGAAGATTCCTCCTTGCATAATACATTAATGCCCCAACAATCCTCTCTGGCTTCATACCGTTTGAACTAACTGCCTGAATTAACCTTTTGTACAAAGGTAATCTAAGGAATGAAACATCCTCGTACCACCAATCCTCACCAATAGGATGTGGCTTCGCAGAAGTACGTATTCCATTCCAAAATACAGTAGCTTCTGGGCTTTGCACATTTTTGCATCCTGTTATAGGCCAACTGAATAAACTCGGATCTGCACAAGCTTTCATTGCAAGGGAATTGATGCATCTTGAAACAATATGAAGCTCTTCTGCATTTGGCAATACCTCTTCACAGGTCTCAAGAGCCTTAAGCGAGTCTCTCCAGTTGCCGAAAATTTCATTAAGAAAATTTTCTGTTTGTGTGATAAGATTTCCCTCTCCATAGTCTTCGCTCATCTGAAGATACTCAGCTGCACATCTAAGACTGACTATGTTCATTGCAGAGAGTTCTATTTTTACTCCATAGCAGAATTTGGCTACAAGCAAGAAAGTTTTAGCTCCACCTGGGATATCATCAAGTTTCATTATGCACTTTTTCCCATCCTCACCACAATTTTCTCCAATAAGATCTTCTAGCACTTTACTTCTTGAAAGCAGTGGAAACTGAGGAGATGCAAGAAGAATGAAAGGGAAATGCAACTCAATTTATGAACAGAATAATGAAAAATAAAGAAGTATGAGCATTGAATGTATAGAAGCACAAAAGTGAACATATTACATCAGATATTTTGTTTATGATAGTTCTATTAATCAAGGCAGTAGATTGGCTTTTTGGTTGGCCTCCACACTTTGAAGGAAAGATTGTCACGCTATTAAATGTAAAAGAGGGAAACGAACTAATATATCATTTATTTTAACTAACTTCATCAACCCATTTTGTAGTTAAACCTTTTTTTTTGTGAACTACACCATTAAATTTAGGATGAAAAGAGCTAAATTCAACATGTAGAAGTGATATCTTTTATTGTCAGAACACGTAAGCTAAAATGAAGAAAATTGAAAAGGAGAAGACAGAATTTTATTCAGCTATTACATTTTACAAATTCACCATTAGATTCACACCAGCAATTGAAAATAACTGATCAGATAAGTCTAAACAAACCATTCCGTTGCTGTGATTTTTAAAGGGACACTTCCTGCCTCTAAAATAAATTGTGGCGTTGCTCATACACTTCAAATGCAAAACCTTTTATTAGAATGTTTAAAGAATAAATCAAATAGCATTTTTATAGAGCTTTGTCCATTTGATTAATATCTAGGCATGAAATTCAAGTATGATGAAACCTCGGAACTTGACATGCATTTCAAGCGCTTACAGTTGACTGGAAGGTGTATTCCTGAAATCCTACCTCAATACAAGACATGAAGCAAAGCAAAATATATAGAATGAACACACCAATTTTTGGCAGTCAAGTATCCCAAGAACATACCTTGTGAAGATGGAAGGACATCTCTCCAACTTCAATGATGACATCACTCGGAAGCCCAGTTGAGCAAAGCCTGCATAGAAAGCATTTTCTGGTTTCATTTAGGATGCAATTGGAATCCCAGCTTAAACGTGTACTTATTATTCATATGGAAGTAGAATTGTTTCTCAATTATTACGATTACAGGAAAAGATAAGTGACACAAAAATCATGAGCAACTTAGCATCATTAATTGTACAGAACCTGAAATTATCTAGAATAGTGAACCCTATGTTTGTAAGCCATCAGCAAGTAAAGTAATATTCAGTTGACGTGGATGCAGAAACTAGAATTGACTCAACAACTTTATATACATATAAATGTTCATATGAGAGCGTATATGCACATATTTTTCTCTTATAACCAGTGCAGTTATATTATTCTTCCTTAGCTCATGATATTAGATTATTAGTTTTGTAATTCAGGTTGTAGCACTAATCTAAGGCCATAAAAGATGACTCAGGGTTGTCTTTTTTCCCTCCTGAACTTAAGTTTTTTCTTTTTATTTAGCCAAATTCTAAGTCCCTCATTTCTCCATTGCTTGTTCTAAATTCGACTTTATAACTAAATTGTGTGACTGCATACAAGCACTTATCGTAGCCCCAAAATAAGGATAGCAATCAAATTCATGAAAATCTAAAAGGAGATCTTCCGGCCAATAAAAAAATTCATAAATTCAGAAAATTTAAATTCATAAAAATTTAAATTCATACTTAAGTCATTTATGATTCTATCTAGTTTCGTGTCCTTAAATTCTTTGTGCTAATTTTGTCCTTAAATTCTGTTGCATATCTCCTGTAATTGTGTTAATTTTAATAGTTGCAAAGACAAATCTTGCATAAACAATAAATCAATAGTTAAGATTGTAATGTGGACTTCATTCTACAATACTAAGGCTCATTAGAAGCATTAGATTTCAGAATTCTATTTGCAAATCCAATTCATTTCCTTCACACCTCTCTTGTAATTTACTATTTATTTTTTAGCTCATGAAGGACAACTTTGTATAGATTGCAAATATTCATTTCAATAGAGACACACAAACATATATATAGTCAATATGACCTGCTTGGATAGGATGTTGTTGAAAGAAATATGAGGCTGGACGAGAGAGAGAGAGAGAGAGAGGGTGTGAATGCAATTACACATATTCTATTCCAGTCCCCTCCTTCCTTAAACTCTTTTAGTTTTTGTTTTTTAAAAAGAAATGGATTGCAATATCTTAACTTAAATGCCTAATGTCAGTGAATTCATGAGCCATTTTCAGCTCAAAATGAGCATGAATCAACTCACACATTGAAATTTCTCATCTCAAAACCAAATTAAATGAATAAATAATGAGATAAAAAGGACCAACACATCTGATCCCAGTATAATTGCATTGAGAAATAAACGAGCACTATCTTATTCACTAATCATTAAAGAAATTATCTTTCTTCACACGCACACTCTCACCAAACATCAACCATCTCCATGAGTGACAGTCTCTCAAAAGCATTTGCACCCACTGAAATGTTAAAGAAACACATAATTTAAAACTAAAATCTAATATCAAAATTGAAAAACAAAACAAACCCACTATATGATTTCTAAATTTATTAAAAGCCCACATTCTAAATCACTACCGACAAAAAAAAGGAAAAAGAAAAGAACAAACGGACCAGGTATGCCCATCAAGGTGAAACACTTCAGATTTTGATCCGAGCTTCATGCAGGCCATGTGTTTGCGTAAACTACAAGTTTTGTTATCATTAAAGAAGAGTTCTTAAAAAAGTAACGGAAGAAAGTGAATGAATAAGAAAAGCAATGGTAGTGGTGATTGTTTTTTTTTTTTTCTTCTGCAAATTAATTTTTGCAGCGTTTTGGATAATCAGAGAAAATGAGAAAAAAATATTGAAAAAAGGTTCCGAGTCTATAGGGGAAAATCCAGGAGCAGAATCGGTCGCTGCTGTTACCAGTTACAAGCAAAAGGCAGCGTTTGTTTTCGACAATCTTTTTGAGTATTTATTGTTTTTTTTTTTGGGTTAGTAACATAAAATTGTAAGTTGGCATTGGCAAACGCTAACGTTTCTTGGGTAAATAAGTATTTAGTCCCTAAATTGAATTATAATTATAATCGCATCCTCTTATTTATTAAACATACTGATTGGTCTCTGAAATTTAGTCGTGAACTACATAGGCATCCATCCAAAAGTGTAATTTTAAGAGTTAGCCAGTCCAGTTTAACTATTTATGGTAGCTTACAGTAGCAGTTGATAGCTAGGGGATTCATAAAATTTAGTTATAGGTAGGCTTGGTCATTTCCTGGTTTTTAAAACCAGAACCGTCAATTTAAGAGTGATGGGAACCGAAACCGGAAGATTATCAAGTGAGGGTAGCATTTAAGATTATCAAGTGAAAAATACAAAATATATATATATATAGATCAAACTCAAGCTCATATAAACTTATTGAGTTTGTTCAATGAACGAGCTGGACTCAAGCTTAGTTCATTAGCTCACGAGTCGTCTCTCGAGCCAACTTCATCCAGATGAGTTGAGTTCACGAGTTAACTCAATTATGGGTGAGCATTCAGCCATTTTGGTCAATTTAACTAATATTTTTAATTGAAATAAATTAACCTAAATTTTATTTTATTTAACTGAACTTAAACAAATCGTTTTGACTGAATTAATGTTGATCATTAACCGAACTGAAGTTAAAGAATATTGAAAATTAATTAACTAATCGAATTTAACCGAAATTTATGATTAATCGAACTTAACCCAAATTGTTTTGACTGAACTAATTTTGATCCTTAACCGAATCGAAGTTAAAGAATATAGAAACTTAATTAACACCGAATTTAACCGAAATTTATAATTAATTGAATTTAACAAAAATAATAATCAATACTTAATCAAAATAAAAACTGAACTATTTTTAATTTTATTATCTACTTGATTTAAACGACGCAGTTTTGAAATTCGATTAATTTGATTAAATTAACTTTTTAACTGAATCTTTAACCAATCATTAAAAATTAAATTTTCTTTAACCGAACATTTATTTATCGAACCGAATTAATCGAATTGATTGAATTGACCGAATCAAATACTCACCCTAAGCTCAATAAGCTAAAATTAAAATTAAACTTACATTAAAAAGACATCATTTTGATTTGATATATTTGAGCTTGAGCTTGAACTCAACTCATTTATCAAGCTTGAGCTATGCTAGAGCTTGACTATTTTTAAACGAGTCAAATTTGAGCTCTTTATAATTCAGCTCAATTCAATTCATTTACCATCTATTAATAGTTAACTCCTAACAAATTGTTTATTTGATTTAGTTATTTATACTAACTGATAGTTGTCTGGTGGCTGATAGATTGTAAATAACTTTTTATAATGTAACTCATTCCAATTTTAATGTCCCAAAGAAAATACACAGAAAGCAAGAAAATGGTGAATCTATATCGAATAAGATTCATTTTAAATTATAAAAAATAATCAAATAAATGGGAAAAAATTTGTTAAAATTTTATTTTTATATAATAAATTTACTTTTGAACGTTTAATTTACAAGTAAAAAGTTATAAAATATTTCAATAAGCAATATTTTAATGCTAAATTTCTGTTTAAAATATTAAATACTAATATTATCAAATTTCAATAACATTTTATTATAATCTAAAGGCAATAGTTTAATGGCAAAAAGCATATAAAAGAATTAAGCGATTTACAAGGTATAAGGTTATGAATTTGAGCCATTTTCACTGTAAATTTCTTACGGTTTAGCTCTCTCACGTTTCGGAGCCAACGGTGAAAGACTCATTTAATACAATTAATTTTTTTCTTGGACTTTTTCATTCCTAATCAAAATGGCATAGCTTAATTTTTTGACTTTCAAAAATTCTTTATATGCTAAACTTGTACTGCCAAAAAAAAAAAAAAAAAAATAGCTTAAATTTTTTTGACTTTCAAAAATTCTTTATATGCTAAACTTGTACTGCCAAAAAAAAAAAAAAAAACAAAATGCATAAATAGAGATGAGATTATAAAGAAAAATTTATTTAAGATCCCAAAAAAAGAAACAAATAAATGAAAAATGAAATGACAAACCATATTACATAATATATATATATACACACACACACACACAAGTACAAGCATAACCTAATAAATACTTGACTTTAATAAACTTCTAAAAAATACTTATTATTTCTAACGTTAAAAAAATATTTTTAATTCCAAAATTCTAACATTAATTGCCAAAAAAAAAAAAAAAAACAAAATGCATAAATAGAGATGAGATTATAAAGAAAAATTATTTAAATCCCAAAAAAGAAAACAAATAAATGAAAATGAAATGACAAACATATTACATATATATATATATACACACACACACACACACAAGTACAAGCAAACCTAATAATACTTGACTTTATAAACTTCTAAAAATACTTATTATTTCTAACGTTAAAATATTTTTAATTCCAACATTTCTAACATTAATAACCACAAAATTCTTATCTTTAAAAATAATTAAAAATTAATCATTAAACTTAATTTAATTGAAGGCATCAACATTAGTAATATTTTAATATATAAAAAAAGGCAATAATAAAAAATTTTAATTGCTGACATTGATGAAAATTTTGTCCATTAAAATTTTTTCTAACAACTTATTTAGATAATAGAATTTCTATAAGGTTTAATATTACAACTTTTTTATAATTGATTCGATTATTAAATTATTTATAAATTTCATAATTTTTTTTGTGGAGGTAGAACCAATAAAGGTTTATTTTTTGATTCATTCTGGATATAAATACCTCAGGAATTATTTTTCATCCAATATCTAAGAATTAATTAAAAAAATAAAAAATAAATCCTTTATATACACGAGATCGCTCAATTATTGAGATGTTTTTATAAAATTTAATTGTTTATTTTTTTTTTTTTTAGAAAAAGATACGAGTAATGCTGAAATTGTAATCAGAACCGCACCAAAACCAACTAGAAATAAAACAGAACTGAAGTGAACCGGTGGTTCAAAGGCCGATTCAGGCTCTTGAACCGCCGGATTGGTGAACCGGAACCCGTCTCCATTTCGTTACGCTCACTGCTTACCCTCTCAAATTCTATAATACAAGACTTCACTTCAGTGCGCGACCAAATTCTTTTGGGGGTCAACTGCAAGAGCAGCAACAGATCAACTATGGAAGCTGTGGTTGGAGCTCGACTAACCCTAGCTCTCTCCATTTTCGCATTTTTTTCACTTCTCTCTACATCCTTCTCTCAGGAGATCCAAATCCTCAACGCTGAGCGTAGAGTAAGCTCTCTCAATCGATATTTCGGTCGCTTCTATGAATGTCTGATCGTGTGATTTCACTATATTTCAATTACAATTCATTGATCTACGTAGAATGCTTTCTCGATGATTTTAAACTCAATTTATCAGCAGTTTATGGTTTCAATTTTGTGGAGCTTATGGAAATGATCGAAATTTGGAAAAGAAAAATGAAAATATGCAATCATTTAGGATTTACGGAAATTTATATTTACCTGTTTGATATTTGTTGCTTGCGACATTTTTTGAATTTTACGTAGGGTTATATAATAGATGCAGTATTTTTATTATCAGGGTTGTTAAGTTCTTTTGAATTGTACATAGCGATTGTGTAATTCTCAAAGAGATTAATTGGTTTGTAATAAAAGTAAGTACTTTGCATCAGTTTTATATAAATCAAATTATTTGTTCGTCAATAGAAAATGCTCTGCTGATTATAGTTTCTGTTGGATGATAATATACTGACTTTTTCCATTGTTTTGTTGATATGGATGCAGATAGACTTAACTTCACATATTGTTAAGGTCTTCTTGACTTTAAAGGTATGTGATCTTTTTATTTTTTTTATTTTTTTATTTTTTAACACTGCTGTTAAACGCTTTAAAGATGCAATTTTTTTTTTTAATTATTTTGATAATTGCTAATAAAAGGTAAATTATGATGTTTTTTCATTCTGATTGTTAAGAACTTGACCTGGAAAACTATGCTGAGTTTGTCAAGCATGCAATGGTAATTCTTATGTTTATTTTAAGCCTTGGTGTTTGAAATTCACATTTGGTTGAATTTTATGTTTTTAATCTTTTCAATTGGTTAACAGCCATGTGTTTTAAGTGATAATTGGAATCGTGAATATTTGTACTTTTTGTTGGAGAAATGTGCATTTCAGTTTGCTCATTTTATTTTATTTTAATATGGATATCTTAAAGGTGGAAAATACTGGGACAACTGATGCTTCTGAAATCCTTCTAGCTTTCCCACCTACTCAAGTTGATCATCTGGCAGTGGTCAAAGCACAAGCAGCTACAGGAAAGCGGAAGAAGCGAACTTATGTGCCTCTTGATGTAAAGCCAAGAGAGCTACCTGAGGCACCAAATGGAACCAAGTATTTTGTCATATCTTTGCTAAATCCATTAAAATCGGGTGAAACTGCAACCCTGGAGGTGCTCTATATACTAACACATTCTCTGGAACCTTTTCCGGCTGAGATAAGCCAATCAGAACCACAATTGGTATATTACCATGATAGTGCTATAATATTGTCACCATATCATATTAGGCAGCAGACAACTTTTATCAAGACACCAACTGGAAAAGTAGAATCATTCACAAGAGTGGAACCCACTAACCGTGCTAGTTCAGAGATAAAATATGGACCATATGAAGATCGTCCACCATATTCATTTTCCCCAATAATTATTCATTTTGAGAATAACAATCCATTTGCTGTTGTTGAGGAGCTTGTTCGTGAAATAGAAATATCTCACTGGGGCAACCTTCAGATAACAGATCATTACAAGTTGGTTCATGCTGGTGCTCGACACAAAGGCGTGTTTTCAAGGTAGGATTTGCTCATGCTTTCTGATTGCATTTCTACTTTTCTGTTATTGTGTTCTTTTTCTAATTTATTATAGTTGTGTAGTCTAACATTATACACAGTTTTTCTGGAACCCATTTTCATTTTGCTCATTGCTCCTTAATGTGCAACTTAGACTGGAGTGCATGAAAGGAAATATCATACTGCTTGACTTATTAATGACTCAATATTGAGGGTTCACTATATTTCTCTTTCTCTCTCTCTCTCTCTCTCTCTCTCTCTCTCCATTCCATTTTGCCCTAGGCCGATTCTACTCTGCATCACTTCTCTTTCTACTCTTTACATTCTTTGCTTCTGGTTAATCCAGTGCTGTTATTTGTTAGTGTGTATGTAAAAAACTACATTGGACAAGGCTAAACCATTTTGAACAACCCTCTCAGGTTTCAATTCATCTTCAATGAGTGCTTCCTTATACTGATAATTCTTTTTCATATGTACATTAATTTCTTAAGTTTCAGCATATTTTTGCGTCATTAATATCTTATACTGATAATTCTTTGTAGCCTTTTTTCCTAATATTTTCTCACTTGATAAAATGAGCATAACTCCAGATTCACAAGAAACTATGCTATATTTCAGAAAATTAGACATCTTGTTAATGTATGAGTTCTTAATAATCTTTATTCTATTCATTAAGGAAGTATGGACAATGTGTTTTGTATGAGAATACCATTTCTGCGTCTACAAATGTGCTTGTGTTTTCTTTCTTAAATAGTTAGTGGTAGCACGCTCATTGAATGATTAACAAACTTTTGTTTACATAAACTTTTTAGGTATCTTTTTCTTTTCTTTCTTTTTTTTTTTTTTTCAAACTAAGGATTTTTTTTCCGGCCTATATTTTGCTTTGCATTGTTTTTAACCTGATCTGAGTGGAGATTTGAAACAAAAGATATATAGCTTACCCAACTAGTCTGGGACTAAGGCTTGGTTGTTGAATCAAGTATTTCTCTTTTTGTTCAGTTCATACAATCGTCTTCTGAAGCTTCCTCTTTTGGCAGGGTTGAATATCAATCTAGGCCATCTATTAGTGGTACATCATCATTCAAGCATCTCCTAGCAAGACTACCGCCTAGGGTGCATTCTGTCTATTATCGAGATGACATAGGGAACATTTCATCATCTCATTTACGTACGGATTATCGAAAGGTATTAACATTCTTTTCACACTCTCCCCTTTCCTTTCCTGTTGGCATTTCCTAGGGTGCATTTTGTCAATTATCAAGATGAAATATATATGTTTTATAATCACATCTACCTACAGAGAATCAAGAGGTAGTAAGATTTTTTGTATCCCTCTCTTTGCTATATTCTACCATTCTTGGTTTGCCTTAATTTCCATCCTCCCTCTTTGCTGTTACTACTGCAAGCTTGGGATAAATCTTTGCCTGCATTTTCTCATTGTCAACCTACATTTAGGAAAAATTGTGTCATGTTCTAAGTGGAGAGTAATAGAATTAATTATTGCATATGGGAAGATGTGGTATTCAGTATTCACTGTTTATGAGATGTGATTTTGATCTTCAAGCATCTTGACTCGAGGCTTTTCTAAACAGTCTGAACTTGAAATTGAACCACGGTATCCTTTATTTGGAGGTTGGAAAGCTACTTTTGTCATTGGTTATGGCCTACCTTTGCAAGATTTCCTTTTTGAGTCTCCTGATGGAAGGCGTTACCTCAACTTCAGCTTTGGCTGTCCTCTTGCTGAGACTGTTGTAGACAAGTTGACCATCAAAGTGGGTTTATATTTCTATCCCTCTAGTTCCATACGTCTATCGTTGATTGCTGCATGTTCATTGCTTAATCCTTTCAAATTGCAAAATGTGAATTTTGTAATGCATAAACTGTTTTATTTCAGGTTGTGCTGCCAGAGGGGTCCAAAGACCCTTCAGCTGTGGTTCCTTTTCCAGTAGAGCAACACTTGGAGGTAATTAGTTCTTATAGAACAATTTGTTTACTTGTACAACTATGCAATTCTCTTAGTTGCATTTATGTTAACTTGCAATTTTAGCCTCATTAGTTCAGTAAGCAGACAGGAGTTTGGCTGCATATTTCATTTCTACATAAGCAGTAACATTAAAGCTATGTCATCTGGACTGTTTGGGCATGAAGTAGTATTAATTTTCTTTGATAAATATTCAGTTTGATTTTTTAAGGCTTCATGTTAGGCAAACCCTATGAGGTATATGCATCTATAGCCTAACACTGTTTTGTACTCAGTGTTCTGGAGTTAGATGTCTTTATATTTGGATAATACTTGGTTCAATTAGCCTTAAATTTGGATGTTGCAGACAAAATATTCATACCTTGATGTTGTTGGGAGGACTGTGGTGGTTCTGGAAAAGAAAAATGTTGTTCCTGAACACAACTCTCCATTCCAGGTGATTTGCAATCTCCCAGTACATGTGTTGTGTTCATTGCTGTCCCCATATCTCAGTTTATTGTATCTGAACTTGTCATAAATTATTGGGTTTCTGAAGCCATTTAAAACCATTATCAAAATGTTTATGTTTTCTTTGGCCAATAAGATTTAGGCAGGCAAGGTTCATGGAAGCTTTTCATTTATTGATAAGCCTTATTCAAGGCACAAAAATAATAACTGTTGATAACTACGCTACAATATATCAGCACCTTCACAGACTTAAGCATAAGCCTTTACGCTGTAGTAGCTAATACACATTTTGAAATTTGCTAATTGACATGTTAGTATGTTACATGATTTTTTGGCAAAATGTGATCAAGGATCTTTGATTAGGGTTTATAAGCTGCACACAGATATAGCACTTGGTAATTTATTTTGTGGCCTCTGGTGGTCGAAACCCCCCTTAATTTCATCATGATCAGTTAAGTAAAAAGGTATGAAGACAAGGGACATGATACATTTATTGTTTGATATGTTCTTCTGAGAATGAATACTTCAACAACAGAATTAAGCAATGGAGATTGTTTCTGCTTGACCATCTCCATGGAAAATTATCAAATATGCCTCTTTGACTAGAAAAATTCTAAAATTCTTTGCAATGGTAGACTAGTCTTCCCATTTTGATGTTTCCATGGCGGAAATTGCTTACATCTGTTTATTTTTATGTGCAATAATGGCTCTTACCTTCGTTTGTCCCATGCCTGCTCCTAGTAATAATCTGCTTTGACTGCACAGGTGTACTACACATTCAACCAAATCTTCATGCTAGCAGAGCCAATGATGTTGGTATCTGCATTTTTCTTCTTCTTCATGTCTTGTGTAGCTTACTTACACATTGATCTTTCAATACACAAGTGAAAAAAAAAGCAACACCATTCACCAAGGTATGATATTTGATTCATTAGTTTCAGATTTAAAAGCCAACACCAATTATGGTCTTTTTGTATCCTGGAGCTTAGAATGGTGTCAGTTTAACTTGGTTAGCATCAGACTGATGCAATTCGGGATTTAGAATACGTCAGTGAACAATTTTGAGTAGTTTTTAGATTTTGAGATATTATGTAGTGAAAATAGTTTGCAATTAGAAAATATTATAAATTTTGTTGTTTATTAGCGAGATTGGCTTTTGCTTTTCCATTCATTGGTGAGCATTGACCTTTGAACTGTTCTATCTTCTTACATGCTTCATTTTCACCATGACAAGTGAGAAAGTTAAGGAAGACAAAGCTATGACATGCCCATATACTTTATAACTGTGTTTTCTTTTTCCTACATTTTCCCTTTGACCAAATATATTTCTCTGTTTAGAGGGTAATGGAAAAAGTAGGAGACAATTTTAATCTCAGTTGTCATCCTTATCATTCTCTATTATCAAAATTTGTAAAATCTGTTATTACAATTTTTATTGTTACACAAATTAATGTTGAATATGTTTTATGTTGCAAATCAAAATTTAGATATATTAATATGCACTAATAATAAGTTAATGACTGATAGTCTTGCGTTTGATAAATATTAGTAAAAAAATATGTTCTTTGTTTATTAAATTCAGGGCCAATTTAGTTTAACTATTTGTGATAGTTGATAATTGATAGCTGGTGGCCGTTCGTTTGGATACAATTTTAGCAGCAATTGCATAAAATGGACACTATGGGTATAATTTTTTATATATTATTATGTATGGCTCAATTATATCACTAATTTATATTTTTAACAAAATGCTTTTTGTAAATGGCAGTTAAAACAATAATATCAAACTGAATAATATTAATTTTAGAAAAAGATCTTTATTTTTAACAAAAATATTATCAAAATATGAAATCTTGTTTGAAAACTCAAGAAGGGTCACGGCAGCTTTTCCTTTCCCCTTTCCTAGCCGGAAAAGTTTGTATTTTGAAACTTTTAGGTCTCATTTGTTTTCAAAATGAATTAAATAAAATAAAATAAAATCGTATAATAGAATATTTATTTTTTTATTCTTTACTTAAGGTTTATGTTTTATAAGTTTGAGAAATATTTATTACATAAAATAATTTATTATACTTAAAAAATTCAACCAAATTTATTATTTTATAAAACAATTATTTCACATTTATATGTAAAAAGAATAATTATTTATGCTATTCCGTAAATCAAACAAAACCTTAACACTATAGAAGATATAAAACATTATAAGTTATCACTAGAAAGTATTCGTAGCTATTTGAGTTATCATTGAACAAATATAAAAGAGTTTAATAAATTATAAAGAAAAAGAAAGAGAGAGAGAGAGAAAAAAAAAGGGAGAGTACGTTTCACAACTCACCACCTTATTAATTAAGCCACAAATCTTAAATGTTGAAGTCTTTATTGTGAATGTAACATGGAACTGAAATGAAAATGATGCATATCATTGTCGATTTCGCCATATTACAACTCAACCCCAATAGATAATATTAAAAAAAAAAAAGAAATAGATAATATTTTTAAAAAAAATAAATTATATATTGAGAGGTTAGGAGATGAGCGTTAGAACCTGAATTTATGGTAGGTTATACATTTATTTGGTAAAATTAACTGTTTCAGTAGCGTTTAGCTGTTCGTTGTTTTAGTAGCGTTTCATACAACCTAAAAACTAAATGCTATATGAGTTAATTTTTTATAAAATGAAAAGTTAAATGTTATATGAGTTAACTTTTTATAAAACGTTACCTTAACCTTTAAAAGTTATTTCAAACTTTATGTTATCAAACACTATAAAAGAATAATATTTAATATTTTTGACTAAAAACTACTTAAAAAATTATTATGGAAGACAACCCTTATGCTTGATTCATATGTTTTGATGGAGAAAAAGAATAGAATTTTAGTGAAGAAGAAAAAAAGAAAATCATTCTATTATCTTTAATTGAACATCGTTTATTTTTGGAAAATTTTTAGGCTTTTTTTAATGGTTTTGGGGTGCAATTGTTTACATTTTAATGATGAGGATGTCCATCAAAATTAGTCAGTAAAAAATATTTTTAAATAAAAAAAAAAAAGAAATTAAACACACACCTATATTAATAATTAATCCATTTGAAAGTGGTAATCATCATTACCTAACATTGGTAGCTAACATTGAACACTAACAACTACCAGCCACCACCATTTACATTTAATATTACACGTTATTATGATTTTTCTTCATATTTGATAATCAATTTCTAATTCTTTTTTTTTTTTTTTGAAAGAATAAATTTCTAATTCTAAAAAATTTTATAATTGTAAATTAAAGTTTAAAACTTTTTAAATGAATTTTGCAACCATATGTTAAAAAATAAGTTATTTGCAAAATATTTTTCATAAAATTTTGTACACAGTTAGAGCTTAATTTTATTTTTTTTGTTGAGAAATTTGTCTTCCATCCAATTTATGAAAGAAAAATCTTATAAGAAAGAAAATGGAAATTGCAACTCAATAAACGGAAATTTCCAGGCCCACTTAAGATTGAAGCACATCAAGAAACAATGTTATTGAAGAACATGAAAGAGGTTCTAAAACCATGATGATAATACTTACTCACCTACACTTTAATAATGATAAATATATTTATTTTATTGTTCTATTTTAATTGCTGATTTAGAATTTTGAGAGTACATTAATTATTTTTTTTTTCTAATTTTATCTATATTTATCTGATGTTTTATAGCGAAATTAAATAGAGAGCTTTTAATTTTAAAAAGCACAATTTAGATATTTTATCATATATTTTTAGACAATTAACATGTGTTAATAATTTTTTTAATCCTTATAAAAAGACTAAATGCAGCCATTAAAGTGTAACAGAGAGTACTGAATAGCAAACATAAATCATGTGCAAGTGTTCTCAAACAGTACCAAATGATGTGAAATTAGCAGCCTAACATCATTGCATGAGGAAACTACATAATCGTTCTCTCTCCCACGCATGCAATTTTTCTTTCTCTTTCAAATCAATTAATTGCCAAAAGATATTTATCAAGCTATATTACGGATACAACTCATACATTTAGTTAAATATTTGTTTTTTTCTAATTAATAATTAGATTTCAATTTAATATGAGCTAAATTTGAACTTTTTACATCTCTATAGTGAAATTATTTAACAATATACAATAAGATTCAAATATTATCAATCTAACACTCCTTTTTCCAATAAGCAAAAAAAAAAAAAAAAAAAAAAATAAAATTTTGTTTTTTTTAATTAATAATTAGATTTCAATTTAATATGAGCTAAAATTTGAACTTTTTACAATCTCTATAGTGAAATTATTTAACAATATACAATAAGATCAAAATATTATCAATCTAACACTCCTTTTTTCCAAAATAAGCCAAAAAAAAAAAAAAAAAAATCCCCTAAAAAAAAAAAAAAAAAAAAAAAAATCCCTTTGTCTATCTATAGATAATTTATTTCAAGCTTTTTAAATTTTTTTTAGATTTATGGCTTGAATAAATAACAATAACAATAATAATAATAATAAATATTAATGTTAAAAAATATTTTTAGCAATTTAATATAAATTTTTAATATTTATTTTTAAAAATTATACCAAAGAAATAAATTAGGAGTTTTTTTGAGAATATATTTTTTCACAGTTTTAAATTAGATTGCTGGTTCCAATCTCAAAAAATGAACAGCCGTAACTAAACCTCAGAATACAGTTTCAATTACAGTTTAAAACTAAGAATTGTTGACCATAGTTTAATACCGATTTTGACCGGTTCGATTTTTGATTTGAAATCGACCGCGATCATCCCTAGTGCTAGCCACCGGTCTATTTTTGATTGAAATTAGACCGAAATCAACTCAAGATTTCAATTTTAAATCGCATTATAACCATTAATTTATGACTCCGATTCCAATTCCCATTTTTGTTTCCCCACTTTTGAGATTGGAACTGATGTGGTGGTTCTTGCTGATTTTATATTGAAAAAAGGTTCAAGAAAACTTGCTAAACGAAAACCAAATGTTATCAATTTTGATTCTGATTCTGAGCCTCATTGGTTTGAAACCACTAATTTATTAAATCGAAACCGTCAGGTTTAATGACACCCGCATCTAGTTTTAGATAGATAGCCTCTTCTTGCATTTCGCATGCGACGGGCAAGCAGTTGACCATTTAAAATAAATAAAATACTAAAAGAAGATGTCAAAGGGTAATACAGTAACAGCACACTACAGAATCATTTCACTCCAAAAATTAGTTACTTGAGAACAGGAATAGAAACATAATAGGAAGGAAACATAAAAATTGCGAAGCCTTTGAGTTACCATAAGTGACTGGCAATCTGATTCTCTGATACCCTTTGGGTAAAGGGAATCAGAGGTCAACCCCAATATATTTATATAAACACAAAAGTCACATAGAAATGTAATAAATATATTGGATAAAATGTCATACACATCAAAGATTTTCTTAATTTGGTTATATTACATAACAACTTTTAGAAAAAAATAGAGAATCAAGAAAATCAATATGCATAGGCATTGATAATCAAGCAGCTTTTCTTTTTCCTTTTTGCATTTCAAGAAACCAAGGAAAAGTGGTTTTGCTGAAATGGGTATGCCACAAATCATTGGAAGAATGGAAGGATGGCTTTATTCTATTAGGTCCAATAGGTTTGGCTTACAGTTTTCGCGCAAGAGGTATTTCATTCTTGAAGAACATCACCTCAAATGCTACAAAACAATACCCATTTCAGAGAACGAGGTAATTCAAATTAACTTTTCTTTTTTTCCTTCTCACATTCTTGTTTCTAATTATTATGTTACTGATTTTTCTTTTGATAAAAATATTTGTTATTGAATTATGGCATTCTTTTGCTTCATTTTGGTTAATATACATAGTTTTGGAAGGAGTATGTTTGCTTTGTTTTCTTTTTTTAAATTTTTTCTTTGATATTCATTATTTCTTTTTTTTTTTTTTTCAGCCCATTTCCTTTCCTTATCTTTTTCTGATTTGGATGAAGAGAAAGTATAAATTTTGCTAGATTGTTAATCTGGGTTCTTTTTCTTTCTGCATTTTTAAGGCTGCTAGGAGGGATTAGTTTGGAATGATTTTTTGTCTTTGGTGGATGTGAATGTTTGATCTATAACGTTAATTTTTGTGCTTCTCTAATTTGCATGACGTTTTATTTTATTTGAATTGAGAAATTGTGTTTGTATTGCATTTATGGGCTCTTTTCCTTCAGAAGTTTTATTATTAAATTAACCTCTTGTTGTACCATTTAATTTTCTTCTTGCAAGAATCTAATCTACTGTTAACTATTTAATGAAAGCTATGCATATATTTTTCAGAAAAGGAAAAAGAAGGGAACTGAAGTGTTCCTGGATTTTAATTATGAATGAGAAAATGATAAAGCACAATCTTTCAAAACTATGCCTTGTCTTACTGTCAATTTCTTTGGATTAATTGTCTGTCTTTTAATCCACAGATTTAATACAATTATTAGCTTCTTAACAACAACTTACTCGAAGTTTTATTTCTAGGAGCCGGTTAGAAGTGCAATGATAGACTCTTGCATTCGTGTCACTGATAATGGAAGAGAGAGCATCAATAGAAAAGTATGCCTTTTGATTTCACACTTCCTTCTTCTAATTAATCTACCATTACAGGAAATAATTAATGTATTCTTTTTCTTCACATTTAATTCTTCGCAGGTCTTCTACATTTTCACCCTCTATAGTACTATAAATCACAATGATCAACTTAAGGTACTGTTAATTCCTAAAAGTTTTAAGTAATTTGATTTAAATATGATTTTATTGTTATTATTAAGTTGGGTTCTGAAGTTACATTTTTATAGTTGGGAGCAAGTAGTTCAGAAGATGCAGCAAAATGGATTCAATCTTTGCAGAGTTCAGTGTTGAAGGTACCAAACTGTTAACTTATGCATGTGGCCATTTCCCCGTGTAAAGTTGTATTTAAAATGTCATTTTCCCATATCGTTTCCGTGCTAGGTTATATATTTTGTATTTAAAATGTTCATTTTCTCATATCGTTTCCGTGCTAGGTTTATATATATATATATATAATAATATATATATATATTATATATATATATATATATATATATATATATATATATATATATATATAATATATATATATATATAATATATATATATGTAGTAATTTAATTTGATTTTCCTCTGATGGCATGTTTTCTTTTATTTTGTAGGAGTGTCCAGATCCAGGAAAAGACTTTGTGGCCGTTTCTAAGAGGAAATGGCCACCTTTAAGGTATGCCAGTAGCTGCCAATTGCATACGTTTGTGCAATCAATTTTTTTTTTCTTTTTTTTTTTCAACTAGTAATCTGCAACATCACACAATTATTATCATATCAATAATAAGAACACGATAAATATTAACCCTAATTCATTAATTTTGTATCAGGTTTATGTCATATAAACCCCTGCTTTATATTTTAAAATTTTGGAGGTTGGATGCCTAACATTGTTTAAGAGCCTTGAAATGCTTTATTGAACTGAAAGTTAAATTTCTAGTGTAGACATTATACTAGAACCAGTTTTAGTTATTATCAAAAAAAAAAAAAAAAAAAAAAAAAAAAAAAAAAAAAAAAAAAAAAAAAAAAAAAAACAAAAAAAAGAACCAGTTTTCAGGTTATTAATTATAGTTAAATATTTACGAATTACTGGGTTACACCTACACATCCTCTTAAAATGTCTCACGCTTATGCTCTGAAGTAATCCTGGGATAACAATTCAAGACACTGTCTTCATTATCTTCCCTACTAAACTACTTATTTTTTTATGTTTTTCTTTTTTTTTCCATCTCTCCTTTTTTGCAATAAAAAAAAAAAAAAAAAAAAAAAAAAAAAAAAAAAAAAGAACCAGTTTTAGTTATTAATTATAGTCTAAATATTTACGATTATGGGTTAACCTAACATCTCTTATGTTTCAGTATGCTTGAAGTAATTGGGATACAATTAAACATGTTCATTATTTCCCTATAAACTACTTATTTTTTTAATGTTTTTTTTTTTTCATTTCTTTTTTGCAAATAATCATGTTTGAACAGATTAAGTGTTTCAACAAGGATGGATTGTAAGAGATCTGTGGATTATTTCTCAACATTGCATACTGAAGCAATGACATCTGATGTTCTTGCTCCCTCCCCATGGAAAATTTTTGGTTGTCAAAATGGTAACTAAGAACTACTAGTTGAGTTACTTATCTTTTCTTTAATGCCTATTTCTTACTACCATGCCTAATTAAACTTAATTACTTTTGTTACTTTGTAGGACTACGCCTTTTTAAAGAGGCCAAAGATTGGGATTCTCATGGGGGAGTAAGCTCAATTAATTTCATTTTATAACTTCTTGCTTATTGATAATTGTAAAAAACGAAGAACTTTCATTAGCTAATTATTTTTTTTAAAATTATGTTTTAAGTATTGGGATGATCATGCTGCGATAATGGCAGTTGGTGTGGTTGATGGGACTTCTGAGGCCATTTTTAGGACCCTTATGTCCCTTGGTCCATTAAGATCAGAGTAAGAGAGTACTTTAATCATTAATAGTGATTTTTCATTATGGTTAGTTTGAATGGTAGATGTTAATTACCAAAGAATTCCTTGCAGATGGGACTTCTGTTTCTTCAGGGGTAGCATGGTCGAGCACCTTGATGGTCATACTGATATTATCCACAAGCAATTATACAGCGATTGGCTACCCAGATGGATGAAACGCAGAGATTTATTGTTGAGACGGTATTGGAGAAGAGAGGACGATGGAACCTATGGTTGGAATTAATTTCATACCGTATATTATTTGTTTGCAGATTTTGATTACTACTAGTTTGCCTCTGATGATCATAGTTTGATGGTTTTACAGTTATCTTATACCATTCTGTTATTCACAAGAAGTGCCCACCACAAAACGGCTATGTGCGAGCCTGCCTTAAAAGTAATGTATGCTTTGCATTTGCAATTTTGCATTTTTCTACTTTCACTTGCCAAGCAACTCAGTTGCTTATATTTACTACGAAAATTCCAGGCGGAGGATTTGTTATAACACCTATAAATCAAGGAAGACGATCACTTGTAAAACATATGCTTGCAGTTGATTGGAAGTCTTGGAAATTATATCTGCGACCCTCGGCTGAACGAGCTATGACAATTCGAATGCTTGAAAGAGTTGCAGGTACCATTTTACTAAATTAATCATTTAGAAGTCTTAATCAAGTCAAAATTTACTTAATATGATAAGTTGATATTGCTGTTCATCAAATGCTCACTACAAGTGTTGTACCTTGCAGCATTAAGGGAGCTGTTCAATTCCAGAGACGAAAATTATGCAGACTTCTTATCTGGGGATTCAACAGAACAAGTTGTGTTGCCTCAGATTGAAAAGTTAGATTTCAAACTGGAAGTTAAAGGATCAGAAAATATTGAATCTAATTTGACACAGAATGAAGTTGAAAAAACAAGTACAAGCTTAACTTGTCTGAATAGTTCTCCTGATGAATTCTTTGATGTTCCTGATGCCAATGACATGATGGATTTTGAACATATGGGAAATGATTGGTCTTCTAAAATCAGTCCTGAGATTCAAACACCGGTATTCACTAATTTCCCTCCTGCTGATATTTATTAGAACAGTTAAACGTCAATTGTTAATCAGTCTGATTTGCTAATCTTGTTTTCTTGCTATTTTTGGCATTGATTCATGCAGAGTATTCACCCACCAAGACTATCATCTGCTGCTGGCATAGTGAAGAAGTTGCATGACCTTGCAGGTTAGTCCTGTTATCGAAACCATAATCCTTTTTACAAAAAGTATATCAAATTTTTTTTTTTTCTGTAAACATTGTTTTGCATTGATATTGATCAGAGCGGATAATGGAAATAATGAATTCATATAACCAACCCCAACTAGTTTGGAACTAAAGCTTCATAGTTACTATTGTTGATCGATTTTGGTTAAAGATGACTATATATAATACATTATGGTGCAGTTCAAAAGAAAGGATACACGGACTTACATGAGGCAGCAAAGGAAGATAGCATATCGTGCTCCTTTGGATCTACTCTTCAAAAAGATCCAACTTGTTCTTTACCTTGCACTTGGGCTGCTGCTGAACCTTCTTCATTTTTGATTCGTGGACAAAATTATCTGAAGGATCGTGAAAAGGTATCATTTCTAGTATATATAATTTGTTAAGAATTAATTAATTTACTTGAATTTGTTTTTTCATTTTGGATTTTGTTCAGGTAAAAGCAAAGGGCACTTTGATGCAAATGGTTGGTGCAGATTGGTTGAGATCTGATCAACGAGAAGATGATCTCGGCGGTCGTCCAGAAAGCATTGTCCAGGTTATATTATAGAACTCTGCTAAAGCATAACACATTACATTCGGAATATGTCTGTTAAGCAAATGTAATGTAATCAAAATCATTTTATTTGATTACATTACATTACGGCTCACAAGACGGAACTTATTTCTGATTGGTGAGCCAAAGTAGAATGTAATGTAATCAAATGCATTTGTAGTAGTAGAAATGCATTTGATTACATTACATCACAGCTCATTACAAGGAGTTTAATTATTGCATTATTATATAATTCAAAAAGTATAATTGATGATTGAAATGAAATTCTCTCAATTGCAGAAGTATGCATCACAAAATCGACCGGAATTCTTCTTTATCGTCAATATACAGGTTCCAGGATCAACCTTGTACACCTTGGCATTATATTACATGCTAAAAACTCCATTGGAAGAAACACCTGTGTTGTATAACTTTGTCAATGGCGATGATGCCTATAGAAATTCAAGATTCAAACTTATACCTTACATTTCTAAGGTTAGTATGATAACACAATTTTTGAAAACTAAAATCTTGGTTGCTAATTAGTTATTTGCCTTTCTTACATTCTGTATTATTGTGTATGATGAGTTTTTGTCAGGGATCATGGATAGTCAAGCAAAGTGTTGGTAAGAAAGCTTGTTTGGTTGGGCAAGCATTAGAATCGCATTATATTCGTGGGAAAAACTACTTAGAGGTAAATTACATGATTAATTAGAGATAATCTGACTAATTATTGGTTAATTGTTGAGTAATTTATTATCTTCCTTATAGATTTTATTTTAATACTTAAGATACAATAAAAAAAATTAAGATAATTAAAGGGAAAAGTACAATTTTATCCCTATATTTTGACATTATTAACTATGTTGTCCTCGCATTTTAAAAGTTACATTATTTTATCTTTGCAGTTTGTTTCCGTTAAACGAAATTGTTCATGATTTGAGATTTAAGTCTTTTAACATGTTCAAATTATAGGGATAAAATAGTATAATTTTTAAGATAGAAAAACAAAGTAGTTAATTATGTCAAAACATAGGGATAAAGGTATAATTTTCCCTTAATTAAATGTATGATGGGTCATACTTCTTATCCTCTCTCTCTCTCTCTCTCTTAATCATACACAACAACAACAGTTACGTATTAATCCTAATATTAGTATTTGAGTTAAAAATGCTTAATTATTCAAATGTCTGATAATTTTCAGCTCGAAATCGATGTTGGATCTTCCACAGTTGCAAGAGGAGTGGTCAATCTTGTGCTTGGATACTTGAACAATTTGGTCATAGAAATGGCATTTCTGATACAGGTAAACAAGAAAATTTCTCACTCTTTAATACCATTTAAAATTTTTTAGTTTTGAGTACATTTACAGTTAGAAATTTCAGCACTTACATTATTCATTTAATAAAATTTTCAACATAAAAATTTCAGTTTTACTAAATATCAAATTTCCTAGAAAATTAAAATAAAAAGAAATAAAAGCAAGCGAGAACTTATTTTTGGTGAATTTTATTTCATTGAATAATGCAAAATATATATTTAACATCTAAATTCCAAAATAAAAATTGTGTAGGCTGAAACTGAAGAAGAGCTTCCAGAATTTCTTCTTGGAACATGTCGACTTAATCATCTAGATGCAGCAAATACTTGAACAATTTGGCTCATAGAAATGGCCATTTCTGATACACGGCTAACAGAAAATTTTCACTCTTCTTAATACCCATTTAAAACTTTTTTCCAGTTTTTGCAGTAGCATCTTACAGCTTAGAAAATTTCAGCACTTACATTATTCATCTTAAATAAAATTTTCAACATATAAAATTTCCGTTTCTTCACTAAATAATCAATTTCCTAGAACAATTAAAATAAACAAGAAATAAAAAGCAACGCGAGAACTCTATTTTCTGTGAATTTTCATTTCACTTGAACTACCATGCAATATATATTTTAACATCTAAAACTTCCAAAATAAAAATTGTGCTCAGGCTCGAACTGAACGAACGAGCTTTCAGATTCTCTGTCCTCTGGAACATGTTCCGACTCTACATCTCTAGACTGCAGCAAAATCAGTATTGGTCATGACGCATATTTTCACCAATAAACATTTTTGTACTCTTTCATGTCGACTTAATCATCTAGATGCAGCAAAATCAGTATTGGTATGACCATAATTTTCACCATAACATTTTTGTATCTTCATGTGAGATTGGATCAAGTAAGGGCAGAGTGAAGAAGAAGAAGCTGTAAGACTTTTATTAGTAGAAGCTCTTTCTTTTCCATTCAATCATAATGTCATGATTCTTTGCTAGGTTAATATATTTTGTAAGATACTCAATTTTCTTTTTGGTTGTCTAAATATGTATAATGTATTCAAAAATATGTTTTATGAACACATTAATTATAACTTATAGATTTATTTAACAAATAAAAGAACAGAACTCTAAATAAGGCTCAAACCTTATCTTTTTAGTATAATACGCAGATGATGTCCGGCCCAGAGTGGTAAGGCTGATGCCTTGAGACTTAGGTTCTATTGGTGGTTTGTGATAAATTGTTTATTTCAAAAAAATAAATATAAGACATAGGCAATCGTTTTCCTTTTGAGCGCAGAGTGAATTAAGTCCAGTCCATTTTATAACATTAATCTCTTCCCTTACCTTCCCAGTGATTGGATTGATATTTTTGTTAAAAATATAACAAATGGGAGGATGCAAGCCCAACACTTAAAATATGATGGGCTTTTCATAAATGTCTCTTAATATTTTTTGGCTTCATATTGGAAAACTAGTGAGTTTGTGTAGAGTTCAAGCCTTCCGCCTATAAGTCTTTTGGATGATCTTTTTGCAAAGTTTAACTTTAATTTACCCTTGAGTGTCTTACTTTAGTTTTTTAACACATACAAATTTTGTTACTCTAATTTTAATATTGTTAGTGTCGAATTTGCTTATGAATTGCTAGAGACTAGACTTGAGAAAAGCTCGCTCGAACTTTTTTTTTTAATAATTTAATAAATTAAACTTGAGTATATTTATCAAGCTTATTTATCAAGTATTACACATTTTAGGCGAAAAATTAAATAGTGTCACCCGTATTAGACTTAAAGAATTAATCAATATATTCTCAAAATAAGAGAAAAAACTTTGTAATTATAAATAAATTTAAGGGACTAAATAATTATTTGCAGCCTGTTTCGAACAAATGAATCATGATTGTAAATTTTATTTTAAATGAATTCCATATAGAATTCATTTGCGAATCAATTTGTTATGTTTGATATGCTGTAATTTAAAATAAGAAATTCAATTGAATTTCACAAAATTATGTTTGAAATAAATTCTTAAATGAAAATATATTTGTCTTTATTTCTTATAACACTCTTGACATAATAATTTAACAAAAATAAATAACAAACACCAATTATAACAAGCAAAAATAAAAATATAAACTAACATCGTTATTGGATGAAAAAAAAAATAACGTTGTTATAATTTGAAATCTTTCAAAGAAAATAAACAAAAAAGAAAAAAAAAAGTAAAAATAGTTGAGTTTATATTGGAAAGGTAATTTTGTCAGTAAACATTTCAATGGTCAAATTTATAAAATTCATTTACAAATTCCATCGACTTTAGTAAAATTTGAATTAGGCATACTCAGTTCCATAGAATTCAATTCGTAACATTCAAATATGTATTTATTTTCAGTCTAAACACAATATTTTAGATTTTCAAATAAATTTTATGAAATTTTGTAAAATTCATTTATTCCAAACGGGCTCTTAGTCTTAAAAAAGTACTATAACCTCGTATATGTATAGCTATCAAATATCAGTTTTTAATTTTTTTTTTTTTTTTGCATGTATAATCTCATACAATTATGAACTCACATAATTTTTTTTTTTTTTTGAGTATTACTTACATAATTTTTTTTTAAAAAAAAAGAACATCTTATGTAAAAATAAATTATTTGTTTACATTAAAAAGCCAAATTTATTCAATAATTATAAAATAAAAGTAACACTTGTTATGTTAACAAATTGGAAAATTGAATAAATCAAAATTTTATGATACTTAAATCGAGTCAAACCAATAAATCAAACAATCATATACCGAATTAATTCAATTTTTTCAGTTAAACTTATTTTTAGATCTTGTTAGATATGATTTTTAGTTCTAATGAAAATCGAATCAAACTGAAAAAAGAAAAAGATTTTTTCAATTAAAATTAAAATCAAATTGAATATATATTTCTTAAAATTTAAAATGAACTCATCGATTCATTTGGATTTTGTCCTTCTAACAACTTATGCTCGATCTGGAAGTTAAAAATTTTGGAAATTATGCCTAAAAAGGCCAAAAAAATGTGCAGTAAAGCCATAAAATGGTGGGAAGCCATGCTTTCAGTTTCATTGAAATAAAGTAGAGTTTAGTTTCAGCCATTGAAAATTCTCCAAATGGGTTTAAAAGAGAACGAGGTGTGGGATGCCACTCATTTCTCATTTTCAACATTTTCATTCTTATTATCTACCCAAAATACCCTCGCTAAACTTCACCAAACCCTCATCCTCTTATGCCCATATAAGTCAATTTACCACCATTAAAATTGTTGTGTGTAATCTTATTGAAGCACCCACGTGGCACGTGGTTTGCATACAAAAGAGAAGAGATGTTTTTCTCATTTTTTATATTTTAATTTTAATTGTCCATATTCCTTTAATCAACCATAGCTTTCTTTGTCCCTGTTCTCGCCGCTTATAACGGATTATCACTCTAATAATAAACTACTAATTTTTTAATATTATTAAATAAGTATATAAATGGTAAACAGTAATTATATATGGTAAATACTTAAAATTTTGATGCGTCTAATTCATGATTGCAAAGCTATATCAAATTAACTCTCGTACACAATTTAACCTCTGTACTTTTCATAAAAAACGTTATGCTCACTCTCAATTTTTATTTTGACCCATTAAATATTTTATTTATAAATTTGAACATTTTAGACATTTATTTGACTCATTAAACATCTTAACATATAAAATTTTAACATTAAACATTTATTGGATAATTAAAAGCATAAAAAATATTGTTCAAAAATTGTATTAACTATATTTTTTAATCAATATTTTACATGTAAAGTCAAAATGCTTAAATTTTTTTTTTTTTTTCGTAAAGAGGTATGAGATTTAAAAAAAAAGTGGTATTTAATCGATATTATTATTATTATTATTATTATCTTAATAATAAAATAAAGAGATAAGCACGTGGCACAATCACATGTTGCTTTCAATTCTTTTCTGCAATCCAGCGCATGTCGTTGCATGACAGCATGTATTTGTGCGTGCATTTTTTTATTTTTTATTTTTTATGATAATATTTGATTGGATCTCTTTATTATTTTATTATAAACTTTTTGAATTTTTCAAATTCCTTTTGCTGTCAATTTGATGGAATGGAAGCAACCGTGTCTTGAATTTTATGTATAAAATGACATTTGCAGCATGTTTTTGTGAATCAGTAATCTTGAAAACCGACAATTTGGCAATGATTTCCAATATATGCAAACAAATAAACTGATTTTTTAAAACTGAAAACCAAGCATACGTATCTTCGTGCCTGGACGAACCTCAACGGAGCTTGTATACAAATACTATACTTTTCAATAGCAGCAATTCTATAAACGTTGAACTTGATACCACGCAGTTAAAAGGCTTAATGTATAAAAATATTTCAAAGTTTTCAATTCCAATTAAAGATGAAATCATAGAATAAAAAATTCTTTCTATCATTTTTAAAATTATCACAGGACTCTGATAAAAATTTAAAAATAACTTCATTAGTATAAACCAATAATGTTATACATATTAAATTTTAATTTCTAAAATAACAGTTGTTGAGTTAGCTTTTAGCATTTTGACTAAATTAAAATTCTATCTATATTAATTGTAACGTTCAGTAATATATCTTTTATAATACTTTTAGAGGTTGATGGAGCTTTTTACAAATATTAAATACTCTAACATTTAATTTTTAATTAAATTTTTTTGACAATCATATCTATTATTTTTTTCCCTCCGAGAATAAACAATTAATGTCTTTTTTTTATTATTTTAAGTTAAATGATTATTTTTACTGAACACTTTTAATTTAAACCGTTATATAAAGAGCTATCAGTTAAAAACTAATAGCTAACAGAACAACAACTACTACGATAGCTAAAATTAGATTTGTTTCTGTCTTTTGTTAAATCATGACAGAGGCTAAACTCTATTTGTAACAAGTACAAAACCTATAATATTTTATTGATTTATTGAACAACTACTAAAACAGTTAATATTGTCAAATATACTTTAAATGTCAATGCAATTTGATATTCAAAATATATTTAAATTTTTTATTTTTATTAGTAATTTAAAAAAATAACAAAAATACTATTTTATTTGCAATTCATTCTTAATTGTAATCGAAAGTGCTATTGATATAAAAAGTCGAAATTATCATAAAATTAACAGAAATGTAAAAATATAATGAAATTTCAAAAAATCTATAAAGTTCAAAGTATTGATACAGTAATCTGTAGTAAACTTAAAGTTGCCTTAAGTACTGTTGTTTTGGCTAGTTTGCAAATTATTTGACTTCATTTGGTTTAAATTAATAAACATTAATTTGATGGTCCGGGATTTTTAAATATAATAATCCCTCCATTTATTAATAAGCGTTACCTTTATGAAAGTATTAGAAAAAATAATTTTTTCCATTTTTGCCCTTCACATATGATGAATATTAATTGTAATAATTCTCAAAAATTTCTTTTTTTTTTAAAAAGGGTAATATAGTCAATTTACTTAATAATTTATTACAAATTAAACAATTAAATAGCTTTTATAATGGACGAGAAAACTATCAATCTGATACTTTTTTATGACTAATGGAGTACTTTATATAATAATGCATATACTTATAGCCTAATGCATAAATTTGCTATTGTATTTAATGTAAATGTGACACTTATCTGTAAACGAAAGAAGTACTAATTATATAATTATGTATGCATATAAAGTCTAATGCATAAATTTGCTCTTGCATTTGAAGGTATTATATTTGCGGCACTCTAAACTTTATAAGGAACCCTTAAAGTTATGAATTTAGTAATATACATCTCTTTGCACTAGTAACAATAATTTTTTAGTGTTGTTGGCTTTTTATATATTAAATATTAATTCAACGTGTGGTTATTACAATTTTTGAAACAATAAATTTTCATTTTCGACTAGCATTTCTTTTACCTTTATATAATTAGATTTGTTTCATTTCATTTTCAGTGTTTTGCTAACTATAAATATTAAGACTCGAGTACGTATACATAATAAGAAGTGTAACGTTGTGATGAACAAAAAAAAAAAGT